TCTCAGGGAATGTTATTATAATCTTAGTTACCTTGCATTTTGCTCTGATTGAGTTCCTCTCAAGTTTCAGTTATAATAAAAAACAGGTGCTGAAGGCCATGCGAGAATCTGATTCAAAGAAACCTGCAATTTTTGCCATGTCAAATCCCACCTTGAATGGTTTATTTTTCTGCCAATCATTTAGCACCCACAATCTTCTCATGGCACAAATTGATGTTTTTTTGCTTTACACGTGGAACAGCTGAATGTACTGCTGCCGATGCATTTAACCATGCTGGTGAAAACAAAATCTTTGCAAGTGGAAGCCCTTTTCAAAATGTTGATCTACGTATCTTTCCTCCTGTTTGAAGCCCGTTAGAAATATTTTGCACTATCAGTTGAAGTAGTTAAAGTATTTGGTGCTTCTTTCCTCATAAAGAGGCACTCCTGGCTATGTTCTGGCTGGTGATTCTGGATTTTTAAGTCTGATTGATTGTCATGTCATAAATAATTTTCTTGCTGGCAGGCAATGGTAAAGTAGGTCATGTAAATCAAGCAAATAACATGTACCTGTTCCCTGGGTTGGTGTTCTTTTTCTTCTTCATTGTTGTTGTTAGGTTAGCGCTTAGATTTTCATTACTTGACTTACAACTTTGTTGCTTCCAATCCAGGATTGGTCTAGGAACTCTGCTCTCAGGTGCACGTTTTATAACAGATGGAATGTTGCAAGCAGCTGCTGAATGGTATGGATAGAACTTCCTCTGTGTGTGTGTGTGATGCTGGAGGACTATTATGGACACTGAAAATGCATTAGAAAAATAATGTTCAAATTTCATTGGGTCCAACTAGCTTTTGTGAAGCTTAGCACTGAATCCTGATTGTAATGGTTGTGAACTAATGACAACATGTAACATATTTTAGTGAGGACGCAACTCAGGGTCCTAACTACATTGAATATGCATCTTCTAGTCTTTTTGTTGATTCTAGTTACAAGATAAGCTAAATTTGACTGCGTCCATGTCTATATATTTTTGAGTTTCTAGTTAATTGAATCATTGAGAGAGCTAATTGGTACTGCATATATTGGATTAACTTCATTCTGTTGATTTATTGTAATGGGATGTTATACTATGCATATGGTTACCGGGTTTTATTTTACTGGGTGATTGATTAGTGTATAAAAGTTCTCAATGAGCTAGTGTTTATGTTTCTATCTTTTTTTAACCTATGATATGAGGTGACAGGAGATCTGTTTCATTAACATATGTTGGTAATGTGATGCTATCTTTGCAGTCTTGCATCTTATATGACAGATGAAGAGATTCAAAAGGGCATCTTGTACCCATCTATCGATAGGTAATCTCTAATGACTTTTAGTGGCTAGGCTTTTAGGTCCCTAGTATAGGATGTGTTGACTTTGATACAATCATATTGGTTGTCTAACATTTGTAGATACGAGCTCAGCTAATGAATCTTAGTATCATTATTCATTAATAATCCTGGTGTTTAATGTGGAAGAAACTGGGGGACCTCCCTAAAAGTTGGGTGGGGACTTTCCTAGTATAGGATGTGTTGACTTTAAAATTTCATACATATGAGATACCTATATGCATGTACTACGTATTGTATCAGAAAGAAAGAAAGAAAGAAAAAGAAAAAAAAACAAACACAAACATAATGGTGTGGTCTCAATTCTGAGAATTTAACTCCACTTATGCAATGCAGTATTCGGCATATTACAGTAGAGGTTGGAGCAGCTGTTCTGCGAGCAGCTGTTAGTGAAGAATTGGCAGAAGGGCATGGTGATGTGGGTGCCAGGGAGCTCATGCACATGTCAAAAGTATGAAACATCTTCTGCTCAACTTGCAAGCTCTTTTATGTGATATAAACAGTAATTTTTTTTTATATGTAAACAGTGATTATTTGAAGTACACATTAAATAGGAAAACATATGTCATTTAAAAGAATCTCAAATCTCACCTCAAATGTGCAAACATAATGGTGAGAATATCATCCTCCTCACCCAATCCTGCACAGAAAGCCCTGGAAATTGTGGTGTTAAGATTGATTTAGTCGGTGGTGAATCATGACAGTTTATATAGGTTTTGTAACTAAGCTTTTCCAATGATTGCAATGGTTTTAAAGTCAATTGGCAATGTTTATCAGAGTTAATTATTTATTAACATTTGGTTTGTAATTTTGGATGCAGGAGGAGACAGTTGATTACATCACGCGCAATATGTGGTACCCTGTTTACAGTCCTCTTGTTCACGAGAAGTAGGCGAACAATTATTTGATTCCATTTTAGAGGCTAGTTATGGTTAATTCTATGTGAACTGCAGTCACAAGTTGTGCAGGCAAAGTGCAAATTCATTTTAGCCATTGCTCTCTATCATATTTTCAAGAGAGACGAATAAAGGAGATCCATCAAGGCTCTTTCCAATTCAGAAGCTGTAGAAAAGCTCAAAGAATCAGGACCGTATTCTACTCTATGAGTTATAATCATCACTTAAAAACTTCATAATACCTATCAAGTCATTGTTTTGTTGGAAACATTGAAATTGATAATCATTTCTAGGCCGGCATGAATTGATTATTTGAACACCCTTTTTTTTTTAATTAAAAAAACTAATTTTGCAATTTATTTTTGTTCTTGAGTAATTTGTTTAGGAGTTGTGATATCCATATGATTTTATAGGTAATGTTTGGAATAGCATAGGATAAAATTTTCAAGATAAGATTAGATTGGTTAAGATAAGATGAGATCAATTTAAAATAATGACATATTTAGTTAACTATCCAAGTAAAAATGAGATTAGATACAAATATTTATTTGAAAATAAAATCTAATATTTGAGACAAGTATATAATTACTGACAGGATGAACCTGCTTACATTATTACTACCTTGTAAGCCCGTGGGATACAATCTAATCTCAACTAATCCCACGGGGTGGGTGTAAATTTTATTTAGACTGCACAGAAAATAGGATCAACATTATCCTATCTTGTAAGCCCCGAACGCTGGAAGCAGTAAGATGGGACAAAATTTTTGTCCTATCGCATTGTTTATCCTGAACTCCAAACGAGCCCTTTAGATGGTGAAGTTTCTTGCTTGTTTCTTTATTCTACAAAACTGTAGAATAAAAAATGGTCTATCTCTGTATTTAAATGTTGGATTTTGGCTTTTTTGGTTTTTCCTCTTTTCCCCATGTATCATTTTCCTAACTTTCAATACTTCTATGCTAGCAAAAATAGAAGAACCATCCACTTAACTTGGAAAAAAAAAAAGGTACTTGGTTTGTATGAGAATTTAATTTCTTTTTATTATT